CAGGGTTCTGCTTCCTTCCTCATCTCAAAGGTGGGCCACCTTCAGGAGACAGTCTGTTGCCACCACAACCTGAAGCCCTGATGGTGATAGAAACCACAAGGCAGTGTCCTGTCCCCACTGGCCCCACTCTAGCACCCCCTCCACACTGCCTAGCACGCCAATGACTTTATTCCCCTTCTCTCTCCATAGTATAATACTATACAATACAAGCTACCTTTCCACCTGCACACGGGGTCTATTGGTCAGGGTTCGCAGCATTTGTTACTACTGGACATGTATCTTTAACATCTGAAATACAGAACATTTTTCACTACTGTTATAAAATATCAGATGAGATAGCCAATCAATGACGATTAGGATTAGGCATACACTTAAATGAGACAAACTGGTCCAATTGTCAAAACGCAGCAGCCTGAAGATGAGCAGATGCTTCAGAAACACTAAAATATGCAGATCAGTGCCAAGACCACTTTAAAGCAGGTGGCAAAAGAAACTGAACAATTTCACAGTCAGCAAAGGAAAGATAACCCAAGAAAACAAGCTTAAAAGTGCACTGCAGCCATGCTGTGGCCCTAGAATTACTCGGACCTAAAGTAACACCAATGAACTCCCGGTAGAGTCAAGGTCAGTGCAAAATTCATTTTTTTCAGCTTCCTATCATGTTACTACTTATACTACACACATGTTCACAAATGTTTCCAAAATTATATTATATTTAAGTAGAAAGAATTCTATAATTATTATAAAATATTAAATGTAAATCTAAATATAATGTATAAAATATAAAACTGCTAGTGCCACAGAAGATATCTGGGGAAGTAAACTATAACAGCAAAGTAATTCTAAGACAGTACAATTCAGGTAAGAATTCAGCACCATAAAAACTAGGATTTTTCCCCCCTCTACTAATGCTTCTGCAAACACCATGTCCTAAAAAAAGGACTAGAAGCTCACCTACTGTACCCCAATGAGCACTGAGATATTAGCAGGACACATGACAAGAAAGTAATGAATATATTCAGGGACATCAACTCGTGCAGAATAAGAAACAGCATTGCTGGAAGGAGAAAAGGCAACTGGAGCAATTGAGCCAGCACTCTGACAGATCATGTCTCTCAGACTCTATGAAAGCTGTATGCTATCAGTCCTTTTCTCAGGTGTATGGACAAAATCTGCAGGTGGAGCCTGGGCAAGTAAGGGGAAGATAAAGAATTTTAAATGGGTGCAAAACTAGGAAAGGAATAACAATGAATGGAACCTTCTAAAGATTAAGTCCCAGTGTGCATCAAAATCACTGGGTTGTATATAATCTGATAGAAAGAGGGATGAGGGAAACTGTTCTAATTTGTATTCAAATTTTGCAAATAAACTAGGGGGGATTCCAATAGGGTGAAAAGAAAACTTGATTGGGAAAACTTCTGGCAATGCCCTCTCAAAGATCTCATAACAAAAGTTTACACAATAAAAGACATCACAAAATGGGTGAAAGACTTTTACAGAGAAAGACATTCAATGACCAAGAGACACATGAAGAAATGTTCAAAATAAATGCCAATAAGATAGATGCAAATCGCACCACAACAAGATAAAGGTAAGTAATCCAATAGAAAAATGGGCACAGGATATGAACAGGCACTTCACCGAAGACGACATTCAGATGGCTAACAAGCACATGAAGAAATGCTCAAACCCTAGCTCTAAGAGAGATGCAAATTAGAACTATGAGATATCATCTCACCCCAGTCAGAATAGTAAAATTTAACAGAACAGCAAGCAACAAATGCTGGTGAGGTTGTGGAGAAACTGGAACCCTGATTCACTGTTGGTGGGAGTGTAAATTGGTGCAACCCCTGTGGAAAGCGGTATGGTGCTTTCTCAAAAAGTTGCAAATAGAGATACCATTTGACCCCGCAATACCACTACTGGGAATATACCCAGAAGAGACCATAACTGACACCCAAGCAGATATATGCACACCCATGTTTATTGCAGCTTTGTTCACAATAGCAAGGAGTTGGAAACAACCTAAGTGCCCATCAACAAACAAATGGCTAGAGAAGCTGTGGTATATTCGCACAAAGGAATACTATGCTGCATTGAAAAACAAGGAACTCATGCAATATTACTCAACATGGTTGACTCTGGAGGACATGATGCTGAATGAAATATCCCAGTCACAAAAGGACAAATATTGCATGATGCCACTGTTGTAGAATGGGACTAACCTCGGGGTTGGGGAGAGACTGAGTAAGATGGGTTCAATAATGTATACTGCACTGAAACAGGAGGGAGAAAACTATTTAAAAGAGATATGTGACTAGGTATTTCTGTCATGACAGGAGTCTAGAGCGATGGCTACATGGTGGAGGGGACCTGGGGGAGGGTTTGTAAAACAATGAAAGAATCTTCTCTTTTACTTTTCCATAATTTTTGACTCATGTACTTTTAACTTGTTAGTTAAATTTGTGTTAGTTAAATTAGTTAGGTTGCAACACCTCCATGATACATCTTCAAGGATATGAACATGTACGGCTAAGCACAATTAATAACAGTGCATCTAAATTCCAAAATCAATCTCCATAATAGTCTATGTGTTTCCTACTGCCAAAGGGACCCTTTAGAGTAGTGAGAGAAGATCTTCACCCTGAAACCCACAGTGTCCCTTTTCAGCAGGAAGTAGCTAAGAGAATACACCATCCCCTTTTCCTTATGAATCAGGGTGAAGTCTCTCTCAGGGAGGAGTGATAGGGAATGGCAAAGGACACACTGACAAAGGAGATTAATCAGAACTGGCTTTGACAAGCACTGTGGCAACTGGACAATTAAAACAGACATTCGGAGGGCAGGGGAAGAACAAACTGGGGAGGAGGGTAGAGAGAATGGTGCAGCAATGAAGGAATGAAAACCCAAAATCCCTGTAAATGTTCATTAAAACTAATAAAATTTAATTAAAAAAGATAGATGCAAATCAAAACTAAAATGAGATTCTATCTCACCCTAATATTTAACAGGACAGCAGGTAATATATTACAGAGTTTGTGGAAAGACTGCAACTCTCACACACTACTGATGGGATTATAAAATGGTACCACTCTGGAAGACAATTTGGCGTTTCCTCAAAAAGCTGAACATAGACACTCAGTATGACCCAACTATTCCACTTCTAGGAATATACCCTGAAGAAAACAGAACTGAGACCCAAAGACCTATACACTAATATTCATAGCTACATTATTCACAATATCAAGAAAATGCAAACAGCCCACATGCCCATCAACAAATGAATGGACATTGTGGTACATTCACACAATGGAACACTACACAGCACTACACAGCAATGGAGCACTACACAGCACTCAGGAATAAAGATTTCGAAAAATACTAAACAACATGAGAGAGGTTGCAGAGCATTATGCTGAGTGAACTAAGTCGCCTAAAGACAAATACTATTTTAAAAATCCAAAGATAACTAGTAAAAATGGGAATATAAGTTCAAAGGGGTAAAGAAATGAATAGGCAGGGGGACTGTGGATAGGGATGGCGTGGGAATCACATGTGGCAGAGAAGGAATTGGGAAAAATCCACTGGAGACCTGAAAAGGTGGGAAAATAGTAGGCATAGATCAATAGTGATTAATTTTACAAAACACAATGGGAATGACAAAATATGTGAAACACAATGTGAATGAAGGAATGTGTGAAACAAAATGCATATGATTTTCTGTATACAAATCAATAAAGAGGAAAAAAGAATTTTAAATGGAGATCTGCCCTGTTATTCAGACCTACCTCCTCACTCTTTCAAGCCAGGAACTCCACACTCTACTGACCAGTTATCTGCAGCATGATCTCTAAGGAACCTCCAGTTAGAAAATTCTCTGATAAAAGTCTCTACATCTAAGGCAAGTGTTGTGTCTTTGTTGTGTATTGTCACATCAGAACTGACCTAAAGCTGACTCTCCAGCAGGTTTTCAGAGGCAGTTAATGACATGGGAGGAGAGAGCCAGCTTTCACCCATGGAGAAGCTGGAGGATTGGAACTGCATGCCCTTTGGGATTGCAGCGCAGCTTGTTAGCACTTGACCACCAGAACTCCCTAATGGAAGTGTTGAAGTCGTTAGGTGTCCAAAAGATCTGAACCCTATTCTGTTCTATGCCATCCTCACACTTGACACCTACTGCCCATTGCAGAAATCACTGTGTGTCAATCCACCTAATTGAGGGGATCTTCCTCTCCTTCACCCACCCTCCAACTTTCCCAGCATCATCTTCTCTGAGGAATAGTTCCTCCTACCAACATTCCCAAGGTATGTGAGGCGATTCGAAGTGTTAGGAACCTAAACTCATGATCCTAACAATCAGTAAGGGAGTGCTGGTGACCTAATGTAAAGAGCTGCACTCCTAACCCATAGGGTTTGAATCCACCAGCTGCTCGAGGGAGAAAGATGGGCAATCTCCTCTAGTGCAATTTATAGTCTTTGAAAACACCCTGGAGGGTCAGTTTTGAGTCTGTTCCTAAATACAGAATTTTCAGAATAAATACAAGTTCTCAAAGTGCACATTTATAAACAGAAAATAAACACTGAGTTCTTAGTGCAAAATAGCACTAGCCATGTTTTCCAAAATTCAATTTAAAAGCAGAAATTTATATTCTGACAGATTCCTAAGGTAAAATATAAATTCCAGTAAACAAAAGAAACATACATAACAGAAAAGACCATTTTTTGAGGGGTTTGGTTTATGTCATTAACATAGTGCACCACTATATTAAATGAAAAAATCTAGTAGCAAAACTTACTAAGGTACTCTCATGAAATGACACTTCAGAAAACATCATGCTTCCTAATTAATTAGGATTGTGAAGACTAACTCAGTATAATTATTTTCTCAATCAGAGCATAAAGATCTTTAAATGCGCTATATATTAAATCATGGCTCCTGACTTAAGCATAACATTATAAATCTCTTCATTAGCATTAAACAAAAATGCTCTCATTCTTACCTGTATATCCAGCATACCATCCCCAAGAAGCCACAATTCCTAGAAGCCATTTATACATGATTCCTTCAATATACCAGAAGAGTTTACTGTCCAGCACCCGAAGAGGCAGAAGTATAATGACATAGAAGACATAGGATGGAAGAGCAAACACATTGTTGGCCACCATGAAGGCAAATCTCATCAGCGCTTTCACCAGGATCCAGCCCAGCCTCGGAGCTTCTTCCAAAGTCACAGCCATGCTCACACTGGATTCCGTCCCGTCTTTCTGGAGTGAAAGGAAGAATCGTTTAATACGGAAAACAGATTACACTCACATAAACAATCCCTATTTGGGGAAAACTGGCCCCAGTACAAAAAGAAAAGAAAACGGGGGTCCGATCTCTCCCCAGTGTAATACCTCGCAGATCTCTCCGGGAAATTCCAGAGGGGGACAGAGAGCGAGGGAGGAGGAGCCGCACAAGGTCAAGGGAGCTGTTCACAGAGGCACAGGCTATGTCATAATATATTTAGCAAATGATAATACAATTCTAACTAATCGGCGCCCAGCCCCGCACACTGCCTCACTGCACCAGCCTCTGTGGAGTTTTCAAGACGAAAAAGAGACCCCCTGGCTTCAGACACCTTCAGTGTCTCCAGACTGAGGACATGAGCCAAGACTGAAGCATGGTCCTCTCTGCAGCTTTCTCAGATACCGAGAACCCGGGAGCCTCACCACCCCCATTGCTGCACAGAGATTCATTCCTTAACCAGGGTCTCTTGCATTAGCGGAAAGGGAGAGAAGAAAGAAAAAAACAAAAACAGTTAAGCTGAATTTTTTCATTTGCAAAAAGAGGGTTTGGGTTCCCTTTTTCGGGGGGTGGGGGGAGACTAGAAAAAGAGGGAAAAAAAGTCAGAGGAGAAAGTGGGAGTAATAAGGTAAAAATGAGGAAGGACACGCGTAGGGGGAGGGGAGCGCAAGCCAGGAGGGAAAGGGTAAGGGGCTCCCGGGACATACAGAAGATCTCTGATCGGCCGGAGGCCCGGGCAGCCGGAGAAGGGATGGGGAACGGGGCGGCGGAGAGAACCGAGAGCCGCGCTAAGGGAGCGGGTGGCCCCCGCAACGGTTTACGTGGACGTGGAGGGGGTCGAGGCGGCAGGCGCGGCCCTCGCGCCCAGCTCACCTCGGCGGGCGGCGAGCGGTGGAGCGCTGGGGCGAGCGGGGCCGGGGACCAGCGAACGGGGGCTCTGAGGGGTGCGGTGGCAGCGGTGGTGGCGGCGGCGGGTGTCCCCGGCTAAGGGGTCGCGGTCATGGACACGGCGATGCCGGGCGGCACGAGCTGGCGTGCGAGAGCCCTACTCCCCTCACGGCTGCCTGCAGACAGAGGAACGGCGGGGACTTAAAGGCAAAGGCCGGACCTGTCACCGGGGCGGGTCCCACGGAGGCGGGCGGATGCCCTGCGCCCCCGCCTCCTCCCCGGGGCCTACCGCGCCCTTGTCCCTCAGGCCACCGCCGCCGCCTCCTCCCCGGGCCGCGCGACACCCTCTCTTCGTCCGCAGCGCCCCCCCGCCCCAGCTCCGCCGCCGCCCCAGGGCCTGCACTCCTGAGCTGGGGGTTACCTCGGGCTGGCCGGGCCCCGGCCCGGGCTGCGCGAGCCGGAAGAATGCATGGCCGGCGGCAGGGCCGGCGGAAGGAGGCGGCGGAGGGGCTCAGCCCCGCTCCGGCTGCGGCGCTGTCCGCGCCCCGTCTCCGGCGGCGCCCGAGTCTCGGTCCCCGGAGCCCGGCCGCGTTCTCCTGGGCTGGCAGGAGGGACGGCGGGAAGGAAGCGGCGGGAGCTGCGACTGCGGCGTAGCCGCCCCCAGAGCGCCCTCTAATGAAGGCGCGGCAGCCGCCGCCCGACCGCCTCGCCGCCGCTGCTCGCGACCCCGCGCGCTCTCGGGTCAAGGCCCCTGGGGCTGCCAGGCCGCTAGGCCAGGACCTCTCCAAGCCCAGGACCCAGGACAGGGTCACTCGGAGAGATCCACGAACCCTACCCCCACACCGGAGAGCTTTCGTCCTAATCCAGAGTCTCTTTCAGCTCAAACTGCTGCACTTCATTGTTAAGATTCTCTAGCCAAAAGCAATTCCTTGAACATTGAAGCTTAACATTTTTCTTTTTTAATGCAGTCGAGTCGCCTTTGTGGTTTTTCTTCTGAAATTCTCCAGAGTATTAAAGTTTAAGAGTTTTATATCGATCTCTTTTAAGCACCGGAGTTCTTGAGTCAGGGAATCACCTGGACCATTCAAGATCATTTCTCATTCCCACCCCACCCCTCACCTCAAAAATCTGGAATTTAGTTAGAATGAGTAGCAACACAGAGACATGGAAATTCAGTTAGCCAAGATGAGGAAAAGCACTTATCCGGGTTGTCAGGTACTGAGTATGTGAACAAAAACCGGTGGCCACAGGCCTCTTCTCCTGGAATTCTGTTGTTGCTCTTCTGTTTCAAAGATTGCACCACAAGAAGAGAAACAGCCCAACCACTACCCTAACCAGAACATCCTCAAATGACCTGCCCAAATTGCACCTAAATGGGGGACAGCAGTGTCATAACCTTTTAATCACATTTGTGAAAGGAGAGGGAGATGCAATTTTTACAAGTTTGCAACAAACTCTCCTGTTTTAATCAGCAGTCCTTCCTACTTTGAGAAAAATCATCTGTTTACTTTAGACCATTGGCACCTTTTTTAAAAAACAAAGCCAACAAAAAGAAACCACCAACAACAAACCTCTTTAGTTCCTCTTTGGCCCAGGGGATGTTATAAGGCCTACTTTTGACTTAGAATAGAACCAGGAGTGTTAATTGTAAATTGAAGCAAGATAAAATAGTTGACAGCTCCAGTCTTTTCTACATCTACCTTTTGGTCCATTGGTGAAGATTTTTGTCTTGATGTTACAGTGTAATCCACACTGAACGCTACTGTCCTTGATCTTCTGCAGCAAGTGTTTTAAATCCTCTTCACTTTCAGAAAGCAAAGTTGAGTCATCTGCATAATACATGTTGTTGATGAGTCTTTCTCTGATCCTGATGCCATACTCTTCTTCATAAAGTCTAGTCTCTCCAATGATTTGCTAGGCATACAGATTGAATAGGAATAGAGAAAGGATACAGCCCTGCTACATCCTTTCTTGATTTTAAATCATGTAGTATTCCCTTGCTCTGTCCAGACAACAGCTTCTTTCTTGGTCTACGTATTAGGTTTCACATGAGCACAATTAGGTATTCTGGGATTCCTATTCTTCTCAAAGTTAGCCATCATTTGTTATGATCCACACAGTCAAAAACCTTCACATAGTCAATAAAACACGAATAGATATCCTTCTGGTATTCTCTGCTTTCAGTCAAGATCCATCTGACATCAGGAATGATATCCCTGGTGCCATGGCCTCTTCTAAACCCAGCTTGGATTTCTGGAAGTTCTCTGTCAATGAACCAGAGTGCCATCCACTTCCTAAACAACATGCCTCTGGAAACTCTATGAACTTTGAGAAATTACAATAGTTATAGAAAGGCTTCAGGTCTTTTGTTCATAGGGTCGCTATAAGTCACGCTCAACTCGATGGCAATCAACAACAAGATTTTACTTCATGTGATATTAGTGATTTTTTTTTTTTTTTTTACCATTCCACTTTCTATTGGATCGCTGATTTGTAAATGGGAACAAATATGGGTCTCTTCCAGTCAGTTGGCAAGATGGCTGTCTTTCAGATTTTTTAGCATAAACTGGCGAGCCCATCCAGGCCTGCATTTATTTGTTGAAACACTTCAATTGATATCCCATCAATTCCTGGAGCCTTATCTTTTGCCAATGCCTTCATGCGGCTTGAACTTTTTCCTTCATCATCATTGGTTCCTAATCATGTTCTGTTTTCTAAAATGGCCCCATGTTGCCCAATTCATTTTGGTACAGTGACTCTGCATATTCCCTCCACCTTTTGATGCTTTCTAGATTGTTCAAGATTTTACCCATGGTGGGGGGAAGATTTTGCCCACAACATCATCCTTCAGTATTGCAACATGGGGCTTGACTTTGTTTTTCAGTTCTTTCAGAGTAAGAAATGCTTAGTGAATTCTTCCCTTTTGTTTCTTACTCCAGCTCTTTGCATATTTTGCTATAATACTTTGTTTTGTTTTCTCAAGCTGACCTTTGAAATCTGCTTAACTCTTTTAATTCTTTTTTATTTCCCCTCCCCTTTGTTTTGACTTTTCAATGATCTAGTACAATTTTCAGAGTTTATTCTGACATCCAGTTTGGTCTTTTCTTCCTCCCCTGTCTTTACAAGGACCTTTTTCTTTCTTTCTGGACAATATCCTTGGTGCTGTCACACTCCTCATCTAGTGTTCGATCATTAATGTTTAGTGTCTCAAACCTATTATTCCTGAGATGTTAGTTAAATTCAGATGGGATAGAGTCAAGATCATATTTTTATTCTTGTGGAGTTATTTTCATTTTCTTCAGCTTCTATTTGAACTTGTTTGTGAGTAATTGATGGTCTGTGTCACGGTCAGCACCTCACCTTGTTTTGACTGCAGGCATTGAACTGTCAACAATTTTTTTCCACAGATGTAGTCAATCTAATTCCTGTGTAGTCTATCAGGTGAAGTCCATGTTTGTGTCCCTGTTTGTGTTTTTTTAAAAGAAGATATTTGCAATGAATAGAGCTTTGGTTGTACAAATCCAATCATTCAGTCTTCAGCCTGTCTCATTTCTGTCACCAACTCCATAATTCCAAATATCAATCCTTCTTCTTCGTTCCCAACTTTCGCATTCTAGTCACCAGTTATTACTAGTGCATCTTGATTGCATGTTCTGTCCATTTCAAACGCAGAAGTTGATAGAAATTCTCAATTTCCTCCTCTTTGGGGGTTAGTTGTTGGTGCTTATTATTTGAATAACTTGTAGTAACAGGCTTCCTTGTATGTATACAGATAGTATCCTATCACTCATCATTAGACCTCTAGAGCTCCTTATTTGTCAAATTACTTTCCATTTATTATTAATATGGTTTTATTTATATATGCTATTTAAGATTCTCACCACTGAGCCAATTGGCAGCACCGTGATAGATGGAGAAGAGATTGAGATTGTTAACAGTTTCACCTTGCTTGGGTCCACAATGAACACTTTTGGAACCAGCGGCCTGAAAATCAAAAGACAAATTGGACTAGGAAAGTCTGCTTTCAACAACTCTCCAGAGTGATGAAGAACAAAGTTGTCAGTCTAGAGACTAAGGTGAGCCCGATCCAGGATATGGTCTTCACAATTACTTGCTATGCATCAGAGAGCTGAATAGGGATGGCAGAAGAAAAATTTATGTCTTTGAGTTGTGGTGCTGGAGAAGATTATTTAATTGCTAAGAGAACAAACAGGTCTGCCCTGGAAAAGATGAAATCCAAGTTGCTCTGAAGGCAAAGATTTTGAAGCTCCATCTCACGTGCTTTGGGAAATGTTGCAAGGAGGAACCAGTCCTTGGAGAAGGACAGGTTGGAGGGACAATTCAGGAGAGGAAAACTCTGGATGAGATGGATTGACTCAGTGACTTGGGTAATAGGGGCCGAGACTAAGAGATTGGCGATAGATAGGGCAAGGCTCAGAGCTATTATGCTTGGGGTCAATATGAGTCCCAGGCAACTTGATGGTCTATAACAATAGCATTTATATGTTTCAGTCATATTTTAAGTATATATAGCACAGAAAGACATATTTTCTTTTTATATTTGAGAACTTCCTGTGGAAGTTCAACTGATGTAAAGTGATGTGCAAATTCTGTTTCTTATAGTCCCTCTGAAAATTTAGGTTACAAGGTAATGAAATCTTTGACTTTTACTACAAATAACAAATACGGTGTAGGGAATTAAGGAACTCTGGTCGTGTAGTGCCTAATATATAAGGATAGTAACCAAAAAAAAATAAGGATAGTAACCGAAAAGTTGACAGTTTGAGTCCACCAGGTACGTGGCAGGAGAAAAATGGTCAGTCGTCTCCTCACATACATTTTACAGCCTCAGAAATCAGATGGAGGGTCACTGTGAGATGGAGTTGGGTAGGGTAGTGGATAGTAAGTAAGATAAAAAAGATCTTAGGGGAGCTCTGGTGGCCTAATGGCAAGAAGCTGCACTGCAATCCCAGAGGTATGCGGTTCAAATCCACCAGATGCTCTGCTGGAAAAGAAGGGGCAATCTCCTCCTGTACCAGTCAGGTCTGATTTGACGGTACACGTGCAAAAAATAATAAAGTAAAATAAAAATTTAAAAAGATAAAAATATCTTGAGATAATCTTCTGAGATAAACAATATATTCATGTACTGTAGATTATTACAAATACACCATTATACTCTTGAGTAAGAAGGTGATGCATTCCAAGAAAAAAGATTAAACTCCCTTAAAGGTTCTGTTCTAGGCCATATTCATCAGCATTCCCCCTTGTGCTGGGAAAGTACTAACCGACTCTTAGAAACAGTGCCACATAGAATATACTTTTGGTTCCTGGGTCACAGAGCATCTGCCAGAAACTAGACACACCAACATTTGAGAAAGTGTAGTTAGTGTTATGCAGCCACACCCAGAGAGAGTCTAGGACCCCACATAG